CTTTACAGGAACATGGATAAAGCTGGAAACCATCATTCTCAGCAAATTATCACAAGAACAGAAAATCAAACACCACATGTTCTCACTCATAAGTGGGAATTGAACAATGAGAACACATGGACACAGGGTGGGTAACATCACACACTGGGGCCTGTCTGGGGGTGGTGGGCTTGGGGAGGGATAGCATTAGGAGAAATACCTAATGTAAATGACAAGTTGATGGGTGCAGCAAACCAACATGGCACGTGTATACCTATGTAACAAATCTGCACGTTGTACACATGTACCCTAGAACTTAAATTATAATAAAAAATAAATAATAAAAAAGTTAAAAAAATTTTAAAAAAGGAATAACAAAAGGCAGTCACAACACGCCATTCTTGTGAGGTGCACCCAACCCAACTACACCCCCAATCACACTAAAGCTCTGCCTGAACTCACATCCCTTCCAGAGATAGGCTGCTCTCTATCAGCAGATAGATAAGGCCTACTGCAGGCAGACTAACGTTCTCCAAACAGGAAGCATTTGGAAAAATTACAAACATGATCTGGGTGGATTCCAGTTTCTAACCTGATGTAATTTCTCGAAAGAACAAGATGCTTAATAAAAAGCGTGCACATAGTTTTCTAGGAACTATCTGTATGAATCCTGGGCTCAACCCATAGGAACATCCTTAAGGACTTCAGAGTCTACCCCTAGGACTCCCTCCAGCCCCAAAGGTCTTTCCTATCCCAAATGGAAACTGTCATCCTCCTGATGAATATATTTCTAGATCAGAGTGACTTCTATTAAGGTACTCCTTAAAGCAACTTTTAGAAACATATTAAAAAAGTCAATGTATATTTGGTTTTTAGGAAACAGGATGTAAAACATAGTAATGTTAATGGGGTGTGAAATCTTAAAAAAGAAAAAAAAAAAGGCCAGGTATGGTGGCTCATGCCTCTAATCCCAGCACTTTGGGAGGCTGAGGTGGGCAGATCACCTGAGACCAGCTTTGCCAACATGGTGAAACCCCATCTCTACTAAAGATACAAAAATTAGCCTGGCATGGTGGTGGGCACCTGTAATCCCAGCTACTCTGAAGGCTCAGGCAGGAGAATCGCTTGAATCTAGGACGTAGAGGTTGCAGTGAGCCAAGAACGTGCCACTGCACCCCAGCCTGAGCAGCAGAGCAAGACTCCATCTCCAAAAAAAAAAAAAAAAGACAGACAGACATTTCCCAATGGTTAAAGGAAAACACGCCAGCATGTTTTGTGGTTCCAACGTCAGCGGCCCACTTTTAACCAAGGTCAGGCACACACTTCTGAATCCCGCCACAGACTCTAGCAGCCTGCTCTGCACGCTGGGAACACCAAGGGGTGGCACAGTTGAGTGGAACTGGGTTCTTTGGGTTCCTTTCCATTCCTGGGGCAAAATGGAAGCAGGAGTTATTATTCCTGAACAGAAGAGTTATCCAAAAGTTGAAAATGAAGCAAAAAGAATTCAGCTTGGCCTTTCAGTTTCATTCTGAAGCACTGTTAAACAGGCCCACCTAAGAGTCACTGAATTATAAACACTTGTTAGAATTTATATTCACTATAGACTAAGGGCCCAGATAGGTTAATCTGTAGGTTTTTGCCATGTAGAGCTACAAAGTATTTCTGTCCAGGAGAAAATTTAACCTCATACTGCCCTATAGGATAATACCAGTTTTCCTCCCCTGCAGAGAGATAAGGATTTTAAAGTACAAAACATGTGTAAAAAGCTTAAATGCAAATATTCTGGCAGAAGCAACAAAATGTCCTAGATGGACTTGAGTATAAGGATATGGGCTCTGAAGGTGCCACAGAAGGGGTTACCTAAAAGGGAAGAGGACAGGCCGAGCGCGGTGGCTCATGACTGTAATCCCAGCACTTTGGGAGGCTGAGGCAGGCAGATTACGAGGTCAAGAGATCCAGCCCATCCTGGCCAACGTGGTGAAACCCCATCTGTACTAAAAATACAAAAATTAGCTGGGCGTGGTGGCGGGCGCCTGTAGTCCCAGCTACTTGGGAGGTTGAGGCAAGAGAATCACTTGAACCCAGGAGGCGGAGGTTGCAGTGAGCCGAGATCGCGCCACTGCACTCCAGCCTGACGACAGAGCAAGATTCCGTGTCAAAAAAAAAAAAAAGAGAAGAGGACAGAGTGGCTTTCTCCAAAACCTTGCCCAATATCTAATTTGATAGAGACATCCCCCTCAAAGTGTAGGACTTTCAGGTACTTCACATTTGGCTGCAGGTGAGGCAATGGGTAAGAATGACTTACTTGAACTTGGCCGAGACATTTTCAGGCAAATCTGGTTTCGTGTGGAGGCTGGAGGCTTCAGGCCACAATACAGCTGGGAAATCAATCGACTTGGGACAATCTGGAGAGGTCTCATCAGGGTTGTTTGTTCGTAGTTCTAATGCTTGAGGTGGCCTTTAGAAAAATCACAAAAACAAATATTGTAGAAGCAATGAGCAAATAGTTTTATATATGGAAATATTTATAAATATATATATTTTCTGTATTATAGAAACACATCATGTATATTATATTATACACACATGCACACATACACGAACATCCTTTAAAAAATCTTCAGTAACAGATCATCCTCTAAACTGGCTGTTTTCCATTTGTATTCTCAAGTGCTCCTAGAAGTACAGAGGTGCCTTGGAGCAGTGCTTCTCAAAGTGTGCTCCCTAGACTAGCAGCGTCGCCATCACCTGAAATCTTGTTAGAAATGCAGCCTCTGGTTCCTCAGCCTCAGATCTGCTGAATCAGAAACTCTGGGGGTGGACCCCATCATCTATTTCCAGGTGATTCTAGTAACTACTCAAGTTTGAGGACCACTAAAATGCACGAGAAAGGGTTAGATGTGAGAATTCATTTGAAAACTTGCTGCTTTTCAAAGAGTATGAAGCCAGGTGCAGTGGCTCACACCTATAATCCCACCACTTTGGGAGGCCAAGGTGGGTGGATCACCTGAGGTCAGGAGTTCGAGACCAGCCTGACCAACATGGTGAAACCTTGTCTCTACTAAATACAAAATATTAGCTGGGAGTTGTGGTGCATGCCTGTAATCCCTGCTACTCGGGAAACTGAGGCAGGAGAACTGCTTGAATCCCGGAGGCAGAGGTTGCAGTGAGCCGAGATTGTACCATTGTACTTCAGCGTGGGCAACAAGAGTGAAAACTCCATCTCAAAAAAAAAAAAAAAAGTATGAAAACCACCACTAGGTCTCTCAACTTGTGGTCAAAGTACAGTTTCTTTCTTTTATTTCAGACAGGGTCTCGCTCCGTCACCCAGGCTGGAGTGCAGTGGTGTGCAGTGGCGTGATCACGGCCCACCACAGCCTTGACTTCCTGGGCTCCAGCGATCCTTCCACCCCAGCCTCCCCAGTAGCTGGGACAACAGGCACACGCCACCATGCCCGGCTAATTTTTGTATTTTTGGTAGAGACCGGGTTTCACCATGTTGGCCAGGCCGGTCTTCATCTCCTGAGCTCAAGCCATACACCCACCTAGGCCTCCCAAAGTGCTGGTATTACAAGCATGAGCCACCGCGCCCAGCCCAAAGTACAGTTTCTATGAGAATGTAATTTCTAACTGAGAACTAAACTCTGAAGGGAAGAAGTGTACTGTGACAATAGTATTAAGATGACACTGTGTCAAAGAAACTCGTGGATCTTAAGGCACATTCAGTAAATCTTTGTCTATACCTGAGGAATGTTATAAAAGGAAAACAAACACAGAGAAAGACAACATTTGGAACAATGACACTGATTATCCAACAAAACTGTGGGGGCAGAAAACATAACAGTGGTTGGCAGAAAGGGGAGGAGTGAATAAAAAGGAGCATGCGGGAATTTTTTTTTTTTTTTTGGTGGGAGGCAATGGTATTATTATATATCCTCATTATGGTGTTAGTTACATGATTGTATCTATCAAAACTCATAGAACTCAATACTAACAAAGGGTTAATTTTACTAGACACAAATTTTACTTAAAAATAATGAGTGTAGCGCTTCAGTTTTAGGAAATGAGTTCAGGGGATGAGCTGCACAACAATGTGGTTGTACTGAACTGTACCCTTAATAATGGTTAGAATGCTACATTGTGTTACATGTGTTTTACCACAATTGTATTTTGTAAGAGAAAGGCAAGGGGATAAAAGAATATACCTTAACTCCAGTGGCAGGGTCTGGGGAAGGGGCGGCAGGCGCCACGTCCGGCCACGAAGGTGGCAAGAAGAAGCCACTGAAACAGCCCAACAAGCAGGCCAAGGAGATGGACGAGGAAGATAAGGCTTTCAAGCAGAAACAAAAAGAGGAGCAGAAGAAAGTCGAGGAGCTAAAAGCGAAGGCCACGGGGAAGGTGCCCTTGGCCACAGGTGGAACTAAGGAATCTGGCAAAAAGTAAGCTGTTCCTTGTGCCTGAGGAGATGGTGACCCTTTATTTCATTTGTATTTAAACATCTGTATTTCCTGCCATAACATCTTTTGCCACCTATAGCTGGAATTAAGTGCTGTCTTTGAGCTGTTGTACATTTAAGAATAAACTTTTGTAAAAAAAAAAAAAAAAAAAAAAAAAGAATATACTTTAACTTTCTTGCATTTGCTGTTAAAAAAAAAAGAATTCACAAAAAATTAGTAAAAAGAATTGAGTACAGGGTGGGAAACGCTATGTAAGATTAGAACTGAGCAAGGATTTTCAATATACATGTTTATATATTGTTTGGACTGTCAATGCCTTCCAGTCCAAGGAACACACTTGTACTCTCGAGCAAGTTGCAAGAGACAGAACACGCCATGAAGAACTGCAGCATCTGTTAGGAACCTGGAATGGATTGATCAGAGGATTTGGGCTTGTGTTGGATCATGTTGGGGAGAGGTTCACGGAAGTGGGGCTTTGTTCTGGACTGGATGCTGTAATGGATCTCATCTAAAAGGTGGAAGGAATGAAGTGAGGCTAAAGCTGTGAGTGGCCAAGAAGCAGGAGTCCCTCACGTTAGCGGCATGGGAGGATGTTTTGTCATTTTTGTGGCTTCAACAGTGTTCTAGTTTCTGCCCGCTCAGACACGATTACTGAGCGGCCTTGTTCTTTCTTGTCTTGGCCCATCGTGGTCAGAGTGGCCCTGTCTGATACTGAAGCTCTGTGACATGGTTTATGTTCAATAGAACACCAAGGCCTATCAGACAGTGCCAGGCCCAAGACTAGAAGCAAACCAAATGTCCATCAAATTTGTAAATGGGTAAACAAAGTGTGGTTTATCCATGCCATGAAGACTCTTCAGCAGTAAGAAGAACAAACCGCTAATACGTTCAACAGCACGAATGCATCTTTAAAAGTGTTATGCAATAATAACTCTATAGTAGGAAACCTGGCAGCTACCACCTTAACCAAGTGATCAAAGTTAACATCACCAGTAATAAGACATGGCGACTCCACCTACCTCCTCATATGATGCAATGAGAAGGGCAAAGCATCACCTGTGTGGCATTCATGACTGCAATTTAGTTATAAGAAAACACCAAACTCAAGCTGAGGGACGTTCTACACACTCTACAGCAAAACTGGCCAATACTCTTCAGAAAAGTATCGAAGTTTTGAAAGATAAGAACTGGAGAACTGTCCCAAGTCCTAATGAGACATGACAAGTAAATGCTACATGGGATCCTCAGTTGGATTCAAGACCTGAAAGAGGACATTTGTAGGACAAATGGCGAAATTTGAATGAAGCCTGTAAATCAGTTACTAGTACTATATATGTAAATGTCTAGGTGTAATACTTGTCCTGGTTTAGATCATTACACTCTAGTTAGGTAAGATGTGGACATTAGAGGAAATTGGGTAAATGGTATATGAGAACTCTGTGTACCATTTTTGCAACATTTCTGTAAGCCTAAAATTATTTCAAAATAAAATTGCTTAACAACAAGAAAAAAAAAGGGCCAGCCATGGTGGCTCACACCTGTAATTCCAGGACTTTGGGAGGTTCAGGCAGGAGGATCACTTGAGCCCAGAGTTCAAGACCAGCCTGGGCAACAAAGTGAGACCCTGTCTCTACAAAAGAGTAGCCGGCATGGCAGTGCATGTCTATGGTCCCAGCTACTCATGAGGCTGAGGTAGGAGGATCACTTGAGCCCAGAAGGTTTGAGGCTGCAGTGAGCCATGATCGTGCCACTGTACTCCCTGCCTGGGTGAGTGAGACCCTTTCAAAGAAAGGAGAGAAGGCCAGAGCAAGAAGCAAGAGTGAGGGAGAAACAGAGAAAGAGAAAAAGAGAGGAAGAAACAGAGGGAGAGGGAAAGAGAGAGAGAGAAAAGCATTATGCTAAGTGAAAGAAGCCAGATACAAAAGGCTACATAGTTCTGAGACCATTTGTAAGACATTTTGAAAAGGCAAAACTGTTGGTACAGAAATCACATCAGTGGTTTCCAGGGACAGGGGTCAGGGGAGTGAAGGGGAGCAGAGAAATTTTTAGCACAATGGAAAATCCTACTATATTTTTGTGATTTTTTTCAACACTCATAGAATTGTATAATAAAAAGGGTGAATTTTATAGTGTCTAAGGAGTAATATGATAAATCTCACCTGCAAATAAGCAAGCAAGTCAACACGTTTTCAATGTATCCTGTCTCTTCTGCAATCAAAAAGACTGCAGAAGAAGATTGACACTGAAAAGAGAACAGCTTAGAGAAACATGGTGTAGTGTCTCCAGAACAACCTCAGGGGACAGGGCTGTCTGGCTGCCTAAAGTCATTTCTGCAGGGAAGGCAGGCAGACTGGCTGCTAGAGGGAAGTGAACAGACTCATGGGCCCCAGCAGCCACTCTGGTGAGCAGCTCCGAGACTCAGTGACAATGGTGACATCCAACCAACATGAATATCACCCCAGTGCTTGATTTAAAAAAAGCTTGGGGAAAATGGATTGCCATGACCTTCAACTAGCATGGGCATGATAAACTTTTAACAAACTTCAATTTACCTGGAAAACTCAGTAAGGAACAAATGAGGTGTTACTATAGTTTGTGGGTTTTTTGTTAAAATCTGGAAAAACTTAAATATATACAAAAATAAACAGTGTAGTATAGGGAACCCTTATATTCTCATCACCCAGCTTCAGTAATTAGGGGCATGAAGTTTTAAAAATATCGTTACAGATGACAATTATTAAACTTGCATGTCTTGAAAAGTGTGAAGATTAAAACTCTGAGTACTGCCTAACCATAACTAAAAACTTCTTATATGCTGTGTGAAGTTACTTAGGCTATCATCTTGAGCTTAATACATATCTTTAATTATTTCTCCCAAAGATGAATATGGTTGTCTCCACTGCTGCTTTCTAATATATTTGAATCTGGAGATAACAATATAATACAGACTTCTAATTTGATCCAGAAAATTATTTTCTTCTTCTGTAGGTTTTTTAATTTTAAATATTAGAAAACATTTCCACTTACTGTAAAAGAATTTTAAAAAACTACTGAATAAACTGTCATATTTTTTATCAGGCATGAAGGTAGGATTGTAAGTCATTAAGAATTTAAAAGAAATTAAGAACAATGACGCCTGGAATTATTCCCAAGATCATAAATGTTCCTAACATAAAACTATTTTCTTAGTCTTTATTTG